GCGAGCATGTCCCATAATTGCTATCCTTGTCTACCAAATATATAAATGAAAGTTAATAATTTAGAAGTTGTTTAACAGTGTTTTCGCAGCTTCTTCATATTTGCAGAAGGACCTAGAGGAATGCACCTTGTCCGGAGCCCATAGTATGTATGATCATTTCCAGAGTTGGACTGTGGACTTGGTACATTTCCAGACGTTTCGCCTGCATCGTAGTCGGCATCGTCAGTGAGCTTTACCATTCTTAGCATCACACTACAACGCGTCAGAGATGAGTGAAGTCGAAATGTGTGCTAAACAGTTGTGGTATCTCTCCTTCTGTCTTGGGCTATTCATCTTTCCTATCTCCTCGTATCGTCACTTCAATATCACAGTTTCTTATTTCTTTATCTAGACCTATTTTGAAGTCTATTCACACTTCCCGCTAGTTTCATCATCCCTTCCACTCGGCCGGGAGTGCTGAGCCCTTCGGGTCCTATCAGAATCTCTCTCTTGCTCCGTAGGTTCCTTCCCTTAATTGCCTGTTTCAGTGATTTCACGCCATTGCTGCCACCGTATCCGTGACGCTCCAGGCCTTATCCTCCATACCAGTGGTTCCCAAACTTTTCCTAGTCGCGGTGCCCTTTTTCAATTAAACTTTTTCCATGGCGCCCTACTCTGAGTATAACTATTCGTAAGCAAGAGATAAAAATAAATAAAACCCGTGTATCTTCATTATTTGTTTAATACTTTATTGACATTAAATTAATATTTAATAATTAATGTGATGGATAAACCTGCAAATCACTGCACATTTTCTCAAATTGAAGCTTTTACAATATTTCGCGACGTCCCTCTAAAGAGGCCGCCGCTCCACGGGGCGCCGCCACGCACAGTTTGGGAATCACTGCTCTATACACTCTACCTCAAGCTTTTGATGGCACGTACACACCAGCCTTACTGAACAAGCCCCTAAAGTCTGGATTCTCAATTGGCATGGCAACCTAACTTGATGATGCAGATTACCTTATCGCTGTGCTGCCTGTGCACCGAGTAAGTCTCGTTGTAAAGCCTTTACTTCGTGGACCACGTCTATGAGCAAACTGATCAACTAATTGCCAACTAGAAATGGCAACCACCGTTTCTCTCACTCTTCTATGACATCATATGGCGTGCCAACCCCCAAGTGTGATGGTTCTACTTGATTTTAATGGGCTTACTGTAGACGTCTTCTCTTGGTTTTCGATTGTGCCTATCTGGTAAACTTTTTTCCTAAAATTAAGAGTATTATCTTTGTCCAGTAGTCTTCTTTTTGCTGATATTTCTGTTTTCTCATTTTCTCCCAATTTGTTTAGGCAGTAAGCAAAGTTTTCCCTAATTCTGCCTTCTTCAAGCCTCATGTTCATTAGGTTTCTTTCAGTCAGGATATCGATGGCTTATCGTATCTTAAGTTTTCTTCTATTTCCACCTTTCTGTTGATTTCCATTCGATTTCGTGTCCCGTTCATGCGATGTGTTCCGCTATTTCGGATCCTTCAGTGTCCGTGTTTCTGTCAAGACTTTTGTGTTCCTTGATTCGTAGGCCGATTTTTCTTCTTGTTTCACCAATACACTTCTGCTCGCAGTTGCCGCATTTGATGCTATAGACTCCCGAGCAATCCAGTTTGCCAACCTTCTCTTGTTGCGTTTGCAGGCTTATGAAGAGTGTTGTCTTTTCTGTTGGTATCGCCTTGATATTCCATTGTCTTAGCACCTATCGCAATTTCTGGCTCAGTTCACAGAAGGGCATACATATCCACTTTTTGTCGTCCTCTCCATCCCTGATCCTATTTTCATAAAATCCTAGTTGAAATATGCTCTTTACGACTCCTACATTTCTTTCTATAAGTTTTCTGGGGCACCTGTTACTGAGGCGGATCCTAGGCAGTTTCTCCAGCGCCACGCTCCTGAACTCTATGTCCGTTAGTCTTAAGCTTCTGATGATCATACTCCTCATTATTCCGATCTTCAGTCTGTAGTTGTGATGAGACTGGGAAGTGAGGATTATTCCCGTGTGTGACTTTTTTCTGAATAGTCTTTACTTGAGTATTCCGTTGTAGCGAATGACGTCAACATCCAGAAAGGGTAGTCGTTTATCCTCCTCCACCTCCATTGGGAATTTAAATCTTCCATTAAGTTGGTTTATAAAATTGAAGAATTCATCCAATTTATTCATTAGTAATTTCATACATATCTTCATCAATCCTCTTCTTTCCATAGATTCTTGATGGGACAGAATTCTCGGGATTAATTCCACTTCCATCTCCCGTTTGGTCTGTTCTGAGAATTTATCCGAAATGTTGATAACTTCTACAAGGATCTCTTCTAAAATATTTCCTTCGTAACTGATTGCAAAATTTAACCCTTTTTTCAGGAGATCCACCGTTTGGGAATAAACAGCGATTGAGGATAGTTTTAGTACCTTATCCCTATCGTCGGTTGTAGCAGTTAATGCCTTCAATAAAAAACCATCCAAATTGATCCGGGTTGGCTTGATCCTGGGCTGTCTTATTATCACATATCTAAGCAATTTCTTGTCATACCGCCTAGTTATCAAATGCTGGACCTTCTGAGACTTCTGGACAGTCATACTCTGGAATTTTTGAAAATCATCCGGAATGAGAACCTTTCCTAGATCCTTCATTAATATCTATGAACTTAAGTAGCTTACGCCTCTCAGTCTCGTAACTTTCCTCTAATTTCTGGCTGGAAGCGTGATAAAGCATTTCATTAACTGTGTCCGAATGACACTTACTCATTAGATTGCAGAATCGGGAAGCGATATGATAATGTTTGCAACAATTCAAAAAGGCCAAATGGCAGGATTAAATTGCAATTGTCTTCTTTGTCCGGCTATAATCGGTGCATTGTTTGGCAATCTTACTTCCATAGTTTAGTCCAGGATGGTGTGGTCTTTTGTATGGTCGAGTTTTCCTTTCGTTGTAGAGAATTTGTATTATCATATTTTCGCAACTTGGTCATATTGGCAGGAAGACCTAAGCAAACTCGGAGCAAATCGAGGAGCCGCAATATCAGCAAAAAGAAGACGACTGGACAAAGGTAATCTTTTTAATTTTACGAAATAACATTATAGTTAGATCAGAGAGGAACAATAGGAAACCAAGAGAAAATGTCTGCAGTGGGCCTGTTTAAATCAAGTAGAGCCATCGCATTTGGTGATCGGTACACAAGAGAATTCATAGACTTGGCATTAGGGATAGAAGAGCGAGATAAACGGTAGTGACCATTTCGAGTTAGCTATCAGTAGATAAGTTTGCATATAGACGTGGTTCATGAAGTAAGGGCTTGACCACGAGATTTACTCGGTGCACAGGCAGCACACCGATAAGGGTATCTGCAGCGTCAAATTAGGTTGCCATGCCAATTGAGAATCCAGACTTTAGGGGCTTGCTCAGTGGGGCTGGTGCAGACGTGCCAACAAAGACTTGAGGCAGAGTGTGGAACGACGCCTTGAGTAGCACGGATACGGTGGCAGCGATGTGGGGAAAGCATTGAAGCATGCCGATAAGGGAAGGATCCTACGGAGCAAGAGGGGACTCTGACAGGACCCGAATGGAGAGGATTGTGGATTAAACCTCGGCCTTGGATCAATAGTCCCGACACCGTAGGAGGGAGGTGGAAGCCAGCGGGGAGTGTGAATAGGTTTCACTGATATTTATATAAAAAAGCAAGAAATAGTGATATTGAAGGGATAGGTGAATGCAGCTGGACAGGAGAGATACCTCTCATATTACATGTCCATACATCGTATGACCGATAACCTACGCTAGGAATGACTCATTTTGATGCTAATCCCTCTTCACATATTCGATACCTCTTCGAGTCTCCCAGCCTCGAATATTATCTGAAGGGCTTATTCTTTAGTTTGTCATTTCAATTGCATATTCCTGGTTCACTCATTTTTCTATTCCCAGTCCCATACCTCATCACTTTATGCCCCAGACATAAACAGAAGCTGGACCATGCGCGGAGGACTAACTCGCACTCTTCTCTCTCCCTTTTTCGGCTCCCGGTGAGGCCAATTCACGAATCCCTTCCGAAGCCTCTTCACACAAAATAAAAGCTACGCCAAAGGCAATCTATTAACGGATTATTCAAAACTAAGCCTTTCTTTATATCGGCTCTTTCACCATGCCCCTCGGGCTTCAACATTTCATGCCTTTGTCTGTTTCTTAATCTTAGTTCAGGCTTAAGAACTAAGTCACTCAAGGTGACTTTAAGTGATTTAATGAATGTTAGTGGAATTCTTCGACATTGAGACTAGTAGGTCTTACGATCTCAGTGTGTGAAAACTAAACTATCAGTCTAGCCTTAAACTACCTAGGGAGACTTTCTTATTCAAGAATTAATTAACGTTTTCGATTGCATTGGAAAACACATCTAAGCTCAATCGACCATTCCACTATGAAAAGTGATTTGATTTAGTCCTAACTGGCCTTGAATATCACAGTTGTTCTGTAACCCCCTAGCAGCATTATTATTGTTTATGCTGCTTTTAATATTAGCATTAGCCGGCTGGCCCAGCTCACTCTAAGTAATTCAACTTAAAATGTTCATATAAATCACATTAGACTGTATGAAGAATGTCTGTACATATTAAACACATTATGAAGACCAAGATATTATGGCCTCTATTTTGGTCACAGTCTCCTTCCAATGTATAAAAGTGGTCTGACCTCGTTTTCTCAACTTGTTCGTGTCGTCAGGGCACGCATCTTGGCCGAAGTCCTCTGCTATGGTAGTCATCATAATTCCCAGATTGACTTCACTTGTCTCTTTGTCGAGTTATAGCTTTGTGATGAGAATGACAAAGCTCACTGAAGATGCCGACTAGGATGCCGGCGAAACTTCTGGGAATATACCAAGTCCATGGTCTGACATAGGTGATTATGGTAACTACTGTAGCAGATCACTTTGGCCAGGGCGTGTCCAATTTAATCCCCCTAACAACACGACCTAGTCACGAAAACGAGGCCAAACCACTTTTATGTTAAGCCTGGACCTTCGTAATTTAATGCTACAACAACACCCTATTGGAAATATATCTGCTATAACAATCGACTAATATACCTTATTTTTCGAATTAAGTATTGTTTTCGTGACTACCAGTAAATCAGTAATATGAGATGTAATATATGTCAACTTGAGTCACAGGGCCAATGTGAATTTTCAAGGAAGGCCATGCCTTTTCTTATGTCACATTCTTTGGTGGGATTGCTGTTGAAGCAAACGTATTTTTGCTATAACTATCGACGGCATGACTATTACTATCCACATCTTGAAGATTGTCTTCTCATCAGAGAAAAGTATCAGAACCACAACTCATTTTGCAGATGTACTTGGAAAATGCATCGAAGGCAAAGTCGGCAAGCCGGATGATGATTTGTGCAGTTTTGTAGTGAGTTGACACATAAAGCAAGTATGTATTTCCATCTACGTCAGCAGGCTGTAGGCGTCAACACCCATTCGTTAGTCGTCATCTATTTGTATATGTAACAAATTGGCAACCTTGAACCTTGATTTATTTATATTTCTTAATACGAGTAAAGTTCAGCTTGTTAAAACTTACAATAGAGGTAGTTTAATGGATAAATGCGTATATGGCAGATACTTATTCCAAACCCTGGGTGAGATTATTAGTTCATTTATAATCAACATAGATGAAACTTATTATTTTCAGGAAAATACTAATGCTGATAGAGTGGTAAAACTGGATAAATTGATAAGACATATAAATGACACCTCCAAACACATGAGGTTGTAGTTAAGGTGAATTCAAACAGCTTTTAGATACTTTACTTTTGGTAAGCCTCCTAAATGCTTTATAGGCCTACTTATTCTGTAGCCCATTGATCGCTGAGCCAAAAGAGGTTCTAGCAGTCTATTAAATGTTAGTGCGTATGCTTTACATATAAACACACAGTCGTTGCGAATTCTGATCATCTTAGG